AACATAAAGTGGCTAAGGGTGTTTATAGTTGTGTCTGCATCTTTTAATCTGTTCCACTGATCTTTGGGTCTGTTTTTTTTTTGCCAGTACCATGCTGATTTTATCACAGTAGCTTTGTAATATAATTTCAAGTGAGGGCTTGAGATGCCTTCTGCCTTACCTTTGTTGCCCAGGATTGCCTTTGTTATTCTAGGTCTCTTCTGTTTCTGAAGGAATTTTTCTCTAGATCTGTGAGGTATGCTAATGGTATTTTCATTGGGATTGCATTAAATCTGTATAACAGTTTTGAGAGGATGGCCATTTTCACAAGTGCCAATGCTCCTCAAACTCTTCAGTGAAACTGAAAGGGAAGCAATTCCCCCTAACTCATTTCTAGAGGCAAGTATTACCTGATACCAAAACCAGAGAAAGACCCAACCAAAAAAGAGAACTACAACTCAATCTTCCTAATGAACATAGATGCAAAAATCCTCAATAAAATACTAGCAAACAGAATGCAGCAAAGCATCAAGAAGATTATACACCATGACCAGGTGGGATTCATCACAGGAATGCAGGGATAAATCAACATATGCAAATCAATAAATGTAATATACCATATTAACAGAGCCAAAAACAAAACCCACACGATCATCTCAACAGATGCAAAAAAAGCTTTAGACAAAGTTCAACACTCGTTCATGATAAAAATCCTTCAGAAAATTGGAATAGAAGGTCTTTACCTTACTTTGATAAAAGCCATCTATGACAAACCAACAGCTAACATCATACTAAATGGATAAAAACTGAAAGCTTTCACTCTAAAGTCAGGAACAAGACAAGGATATTCACTATCACCACTCCTTTTCAATATAGTTCTGGAAACATTAGCCAGAGCAATTAGACAAGAGAGAGAAATAAAAGGAATAAGGATCAGAAAGGAAGAAGTTATTATCATTATTTGCATATGACATTATACCCGACATGAAAGACTCCTAAAACTCCACCAAAGACTCCTAGAATTAATAAGCAAATTCAGTAGCATAGCTGGATACAATGTCAACACTGAAAAGTCAGTAGCATTCCTGTACACAAACAACAAACACACTGAGAGAGAAATTAGGGAAACCACATCCTTCACAATCGTATCCAAAAAATACCTAGGAGTCAATCTAACAAAGGAAGTAAAAGATCTATACATTGAAAAGTACAATACTCTGAAAAAAGAGATCGAAGTGGGTATCAGGAAGCATAAGGATATCCTCATTCATGGACAGGAAGCACACATACTTGAATGTGTTGAGTTGCTTATGAGCACTGGTTGCAGCATAGTATTGCCAAGCAGGCATCTTTCCTAATCTTTCCCTTCCCTAATTGTTAGGGAGTATACTTGTATTCTTGTTGCTGTGTACTGAAGTCTGGCATAATTAAGGCTAGGGCAAGTGAGATTCTTTAGATATTAAAAGTGCCTGTGTTGTAAATAATAATAATGTCATCATTTCTTTCATAAAAAGTACTTTTATTAAAAGCATTTTAATTTAGACATGTATGAATTCATTTGAATAGTCATTGTGCAAGGGACATTTGATGATTTTTTATCTTCCATGAACTTGCCAGGTATTTCAATTAGGTAGCTTGTAACCTCCCCACCTTCCCACCTGAAGCCCTAAAAGCAATACTCTCATTATCATCTATTCCAACAGGGTCATGTTTCCAATAATCACATACTTACTAGGTGATTGGGACTATCTTATTGGTATGAGGAGCTGAATTTTTGCCACCGCAGGATAAAACCAACCACAGTGATTCCACCCTCTCTAGGTATTTTTTGAAGCCTTGGGAAACAGGCTGTGGAGATATTCCATATTCCGGGGAGCAGCGGCACCCACAGTAGGCAGGAGAAGGAAGGGTATTTGGTTTGGAAAAAGCTCACGGAGGATAGGGGGCTTACAATTAGAATCACTGGCAAATAAACCATACAGGGTGGATCCCAGCTGCTTCTAAGGGATTAGGAAAGATGTACTGCTTTCTAAGGCACAGTACCTGCACTTTTCTTGTCACAAACAGGGGGCAGTCTCTGTTAATTAAAGTCAGAGTGAGTCTCCTCTGAGGACCGGTGTCAAAAGTCCTGGTAACAGAGAGTACTTTAGAATTTGGAGGCAGATTTTGAAATTTTGTTTCCTTTCTCCAGGGCATTTAAAAAAAAAAATCAAATTTAGATGTGCCTTAAGATTCCCTACCCCCACCAGCTCTTGCAGAAAGAGGTCTGTGATCTGTTCTTCCACTGGACCCTGATGCTTGCTGGGAAGTACTGTGGAGCGGTGCAGCAGAGGTGGAAACCCTAAAAGAAACACACTCATTATAGTCTAGTCTCATTCTCAGCAGCTGTGCAGTCTGCATCCAGCCCTGCTTTACCAAGTGCTGGACAAAACCCTTAACCTGTCTGAGTTCCAGCTTCCTGGACCCTTGGAAGCCTGCTGCAAGATCCCTTTCCACACCTGATTTAGCAGTATGTAGACGGCTCCCACCCGCTTTGTGTGTGTCCCACGTGTTCCTTTCCTCTTTTAGCTGAAGACGGTCTTTCATAAAAGAAATTAATTAACTACTACAACCTGTTTCTTTTTGAGTGCATGCTGTGTCCAGCACTGCTTAGGTCTTGGGGGGATGTAGACGGTCAAGACCCTTTCCATCATGAGGTTACAGAGACAGACAAAAACCGTAAATAGGTAATATCGGCTGGGTAAAGGATATGGAGGAAGAGACCGCATGAAGTGGTCAGAATACAGCCTTCAAAGTCTCATTTCGTGGGTTATAGGGAAGTCTGACTCTTACTCTTGGAACCACCCAGGAACTACCCTAGGCAACTGGTTTAATTGCTGTGAGCCTCAGTCTCTCTCCCTGTGCTGCAGGGCCTGCTAATATTTATTACGTAACATGTAGAGAGTTAACCGAGACCAGTCATTCAGTGGTTCAAGCATTTCCAGATTGTCTGCTGTGCACTAGGCGCTGCGCTAAGCATCGCGAGGAGGTGATTTTAGAAAAAGCAAGCTTGGTTGATACGTTGCAAGCCCGGAATAAATGTTAGCTATCATTAGCTCTCACACACCAATGCTTGTGTTTGTAGGATGCGCCCGGTGGTGGTTGGCGTGGGTTGCCAGTCATGGCAGACACACCATACTGTCCTATTTTGGGGATCTTATTATAATGAATCTGGTGAATTTGGGTTAAACAATCTCACACTTTCTCCAGGTGAGGATGGGATATAACACTTTCCATGACATAGCGAGACTTCCAAGGGCTGGTTTACTCCTTGATACACTCTATCAAGGTCGCCTTGGTGTGTGTTTGCAAATCTTTATTTCAGACATGAAAAGGTGATATTTTTTCATATAGAAAGGGCCACTAGCCAAACTCCTTTTCCTTTGGAGAAAACTTGCAATGGAGCCTATTAAATCCTCCCACGCGCTTTCAATTAAGGGGTTCCTAGCATCGCATTTCGCATGTGGCCCAACTTGTTGGTTCTTTGAAATGTCCCGAGAAGCCCTTGGTCGCAGCGCAATGGAGAGGAGGGTGGTGGAAACACCATTTTCCCGTATTCTAGCCGACTGGAAAGTGCAGACTTCATTAGTGCAGTTAAAAACAAAACGCCGGAGAGTGTGGTGATTTGAATTCGGTGCAGCAGATTTCGTACAAATCCTGTTTGGGGGACTGAAATCAAATTTAAGCCGAGGAGAGGAAGAAGTGGGAGAAATGGGTGAGGGCTGACGAATGGCTTGAATCTGCTAGGACAGCGGGGGCAGAATTTGGAAATGGCAAAGAGACGTGAGGCTGGACTCTGAGGAAGAAAGGCTGAGATCTGCAGCCCCTGGTGAGGATGTCCCGGGGGCTCCCTGGGGACCAGGGCCAGCCAGCTCCGGGACGGATGCGCAGCCTCTAGGAGGGCAGAGTGGCGGAGGCTGGGTGCCCAGGCCTTGCGCTGCGCCTGATTCGGGCGCGCAGAGGCGGCGCCTCGGTGTGCCCTCCTGTGGAGCGCAGAGAATGCTGCGGGGGCGAAAAGGGACAGAAGACGGCAGGCAGGTCCGAGGGGCTGGAGGAGTTCCTAAGGACGCGCGGTTGCCGAGGCCTTGTCCGCTGGTCCTCCTAACCCCCTGAGCTCCTTTGACGAGCTCATTCCAATCCCATCTCCCGGGGGTGCTTATCCGCGGCCCAGGGACGCTACCCCACTTTCCCAGCTCAGCCTAGGTCTTCGCCTCCGCCCAGGGACTGGAGCCATCCAGGTTGCACACCGGGCTAGAGGGTGCAGCCCCAGGAAGGGCAAGGCGGCCCCGCACGCCTGGAAGGACTATCCTGACCAGACAGCGCCTAGCCGGTCTCGAGTGAAAGCCACCTAGTCTGTCCCCATTCTTCCCAAGTCTCCCCTTCCCTAGTGGGCAGATTCCAGCCGCAGCTCCTGCGCACGCACCCCTGCAAAAGCCACGGGCGGAGCCGCCTCTGCGCCCTGGGCAGGTCTGAGTCTCACCTCCCGCCCCGAGAGGCGCGGAAGGTCCCGCCGCGGTCCTCCACCTGCCGGGAAATCCGAGCAGTTCTCCCAGCCTCGGCGGCAGCCGAACTCGCTCCTCCCCTCCCGCCAGCCTGGCTTAGCTCTGCACGCCCCCCAACTCGCTCCCGCCCGCCCTAGTCACCTCGCTCCGCGCCCCCGCCCCTCTCGAGCTCGCGCCCCCCCAACCCGCGTCTCCTCTGCCCGCCCTCCTCCCCCTCCCCCATCTCTCCTGCCCTCCCTTCATTCCACAAGTGTCGCTTTGCTTTCTCCAGCGCACTTGGCGAGCTGGAGAGGCGAGAGGATCCTGCAAGCGGACGCGGGGCGGCGAGTCCCGAGCCGCAGGCGGAGGGGAGGCGCGCACAGACCGACTCTCCCTTGCTCTCCGCCCCCGCCTCCCCCCGTGGCCGGCCGGACCTGCACCCTGCGCTTGCCCCCGCTCCTCCTCCCCGCACCCGGCCTGGCGCGCTCCTCCCCGGCCGGCCCCTCGCGGCGCGGCGCGCTGGAGGCGAAGGCAGGCTGAGCCGAGCGCAGTGGCCGCCGACCACCGAGCGCCCCGCGCCGCTCCCTGCATGTGCGGCCCTCGGCGGCTCGCAGTCCCCCGCAGCAGCCTCGGCAGCTTCGGCCGCGCCTCGAGAGGCGGCTGCAGCGGCTCCAGCAGCGGCCGAGCGGTCGAGCCTGGGCTGGGAGACAGGATGCGCCGCGTCCTCCGGCTGCTCCTCGGCTGCTTCCTCACCGAGCTGTGCGCCCGCGTGTGCCGGGCGCAGGAGCGAACCGGGCACGGGCAGCTGGCGCAACTGGGCGGCGTGTTGGTGCTCACGGGGGTTAATCGCTCCGGGGCCGCCTCTGGAGAGGCCGGCGAGGGCGCCGGGGTCTCGGACGCGCCCCCGACTCGGGCGCCCACGCCGGACTTCTGTCGGGGCTACTTCGATGTTATGGGCCAGTGGGACCCGCCGTTCAACTGCAGCTCGGGCGACTTCATCTTCTGCTGCGGGACTTGTGGCTTCCGGTTCTGCTGCACATTTAAGAAGAGGCGACTGAACCAAAGCACCTGCACCAACTACGACACGCCACTCTGGCTCAACACCGGCAAGCCCCCTGCGCGCAAGGACGACCCCCTGCACGACCCCACCAAGGACAAGACCAACCTGATCGTCTACATCATCTGCGGGGTGGTGGCTGTCATGGTGCTCGTGGGTATCTTCACCAAGCTGGGGCTGGAGAAAGCGCACCGGCCCCAAAGGGAGCACATGTCCAGGTGGGCTGCCTCCCCTCGCCCTCCCCTCGGGCTTCACGTTCCCTTCTCTGCTTCCCCGGCTCTCCCCAGGCAGTGGCCCTGTCCCGCCACCCCCGCCTCTTCGCTGGGGGATGTCACCCGGGAAACCAACTTTGCTTTCGCGTGCGGAGAAGGGGCTCCCGGCTCGGCACAGGTGGGGGTGGCGGTGCTGTGGAGGGGGTCTCTGACCGTTCACCCTCTTGCCGCCCCCTGCCGCCAGTGACCGAGACGGACTTGAGGCACTGAGGCGAGGAGCCCCCATTTCCGAAGTCTTCGGTTGTGGGGAGGGGATTCATAGCACCCCTCGAATTCCCGATGCTGCCCTTTAGGTAAACAGAGGCAGGCGAACCCAACCGGGAAGGGGGCGTGTGTGCGCCCGCGAGCGCGTGTGAGAGGGGAGGGAGAGAGGGAAGGAGTGAGTGCCGTACGACTAGCGAGAAAGAGGCGAAGGAGGGGCAGAGGGAAGGCGGGCGAGAACATACCCTTATTCAGCGACCGCTCCTGCGTGCAGGTCTCTAGGCTCGGGACCTCGCCTTCCTCTGCTCTTTCATCTCCTTCCTTTCACCTGCCACCACCTCTTCCTGCCCGAGGCAGCGGCCATCACCGCGCTCTGTGCCCCTTTCCCCAGCTGGCGCGGACTCCAGGGTCCCTGAAGCCCCTCCACGCGCGACTTCACCTCCTAAGCGCCCAGATTTTTCAACTTTCCCGTTGGCTGTATTCATTATGCAAGTCCCAGCACGGGCAAGTCGCAGCAGATGGAAGAAGGCATTTGGGGATTAATGGAGCTATCTGCCCTTTTCTTTTTCTTTTCTTCATCTTTTAAAGTCTTTAAATGGATTCGCTCAGCTCAGTAACTTTGGAGGCAGAAGACACAGCCCTGAGCACGCAACCTAGGCTGCGGGGAGGGGGCGGAGAAGAAGCAAGGGATTAGTGCGAAGTCTGGGCGGCGGGATTGAAGGGGCGGCCATCCAGCAGTTAGGTGGCTGGGGCTAAGCCTTAACTGTCCCTTTCCCAGTCTGGGCAGAGAAGTCGCTGTGTCCCCGTCCCTGCCCCCATACACCTCCGCCGGGGGCCTGTGTGTGTGCGTGTGCGCGCGCGTGTATGCATGTGCTCCATGTGCATGCCTAAAAAATCTGAACAAAGAGACCCACCAAAAATAGGCGAAGGAACATCACCACCTCACTAGTAATTATTTTCTATTTATACGCATAGTATCCGATGAATTTTTCCTTCCAGAGGGGAAGGATTTGTAGGGAAGAGGTGAGGAAGTTTTTGTGAGTGGTGGTGAGGTCCTGAGGTACAGAAGTAAGCGCTAAGGGCTCAAGAAACCTTGACCTACTAAAGGGGTAAAGCGCTTGCCCCGCCCACCTCCTACAACCCCGGGACGCCCTGTTCCCAGTCCTACTGCGGAGTCGTTTGTTTCACTTCTCTATCGCCAGGCCAGTCCTCAGTGACACTGGGGTCTGCAGTAAGGGGGAGGAGAGCAAAGGAGGCAGGACTGCGGCGGCCAGGTCACCCTGCAGGGAGATAGCACTCAGAGACAGGTAGCCTGGCTCGCAGTTTCACCTTAATTCCGGCTGACATCGCCACCCAAAAGGCTCCTTGATCTTGGAGGAGGTGGGGCGATGGGAAAAGGAGCTGACCCCTGTGGGACAAAGGGAGAAATCCACGCTAGGTTCAAGGCCACTTTAATCTAGGTGTCCTGGAGAGACAACTTTCCACTCATATTTCAGGGCCCTGGAGGGACCGACTTCCTGGTTCTGTCCTTGGCAGAGCTGTTGGGGAGAAAGATGATTCCAACTAACCTGTTTGATAGGTACCAAGAAAGGTCTCCTTGGAAATAGCATCTAGCCTAGGGGTACCCAGTTGTGGGGGTAACAGCTCCTCAGTACATGCGCTACCTGTATAAATTCCAGGAGGGAGTGGAAATGCATACTCCTGAAAAGAGAGAAATGTTGATTTTTTTTTTTTTTTACTAGCCTCTTCTAAGCGATGATTTTCAGCCCTGCTGCTGTTTGGGATCACCTCTAATGCTTAAAAACAATCTTGTCACCGGGGCCTCCACTCTTGACTGCTTAACTCAGAATTTAGCACCTGTACTTTGAAAAGCTCTCCAGGTGATTCTGATGTTCAACCAGTCACTACTAAGGAAAAAGAACTAACACCTGCTGAGCATAGTGCTGGGTGCCAGGCATTGTACCAGAGAGGGGGTGGTGGTGGTGGTGGGGTGTGTGTGTGTGTATGTGTATGTGTGTGTTTAAATGCTCATTCTCACAACTACCCTATGAGACAGGTGCTATTTTAACTACAATTTACATATGAAAAAAATCATGGCACAGGCCAGGTGGCTTGCCCAAAGTCACATAGAAAATTGTGCAATCTCTAGTCCCCTGGCTTCACGCTGTACTTGGGGCAAATGTTTTCAGATCCAACCTCACAATCTGCGGGAGCTTCCCAAGGCACAGACGCTTGAGTTTTATCCACAGAGATTCTGAATCAATAGGTTTGGAGTGGGCCCCTGAAATCAGCTTTTCACAACCCCCTTTATCTCAGAATTACTCTGAGATAAAGTGATCTACACTTTGGGGAGACACTAGTCTTGGATTTGGGAATATTTCACAGAATCAAGAGATCACTTAATCCTGGAGAAAGGAGAAAGGCCAGTGTGACTCTCTTACTTACATTCTGTTGCTTGCTTGTCTTCTTCTTGAATATAACCTTTCTGTGGTTCTTGGGCTTCCCCAGGTTCCCTGCACATGCATCACGCACTGCTTTTGAAGTTAATTTTCTGGAGTCCCAGGGTGGTAGTTGGCTCATAGCTTTTGTCTGATGGTGCTAAGGGATACTCTGGTGGGGGCTGGCCCACCCAGCCTGGCAGCAGAGAGGCTGCTGTGAGGCAAGGCATCGCTAGGTAAAATTAACCTGCCAGCCCCAGCCCTTTAATTTTTGTCTGGAGCTGTAACCTACATTAAAAGGGGGTTTATTCTCATTTGCTTAAAAGCACCTTCTCTTCAAGGATGTGGGACATGTGTGCTCCCATTGCACTTTACCCCTGCTGACCAGTACATTTGTGTTTCCAGCAGAGGCCTCTAGCATGTCGGTGTATAGGCGCAGAGTCCTGGGCATATGGTCTTCTTCCTTCTGAGCTGATTAGGACTGAGAAAAAAAGAAAGACAGCCATTCTGGAAGGGTGGAGGCTTATGTGCAATCTTGTAAGAACTATACAAATGCCCAGCCAGCAGCTGTGACAGCAGTCACAGGCAACCACTGTTTACTGGGAGAGGTGACTGCCAGTGGTAGCCAGCTATGGTTACCAAAGTATCATGATATGTTTTATTTGGTCTTTAAGATATTACTATTTGAGCATTTTTGTTTTAAAGTTTTCTGTAATTTCTTCTTATGAGCAATTTTAAACATACAAAAAACTTGAAAGAATAAGAAAAAGAGCTCAAATGTATCCTTCATGTAGGTCAAGATTTCTTAAATTTGGCACTGTTGACATCTGGGGCTTGATAATCCTTTGCTTCAAGGGACTGTCTTGCACATTGATGGATGTTTATCAGCATCCCTGGCCTGTACCCACTAGATGCCAGTAGCACGCACCCTATACCCCACATCCCACATGTGGTAGTAAAAATGTTCTCAGATATTGCCAGATGGAACAGAGGGACAAAATTACCCCCACTTGCGAACAATTAATCTCATTTTTTTGGTGGTACTGGAGTTGAGCCCAGGAGTTCCATACCACTGAGCTATATCCCCAACCCTTTTATATTTTATTTTGAGACAGGGTCTTATGAAGTTGTCCAGGCAAACCTGGACAAACGTGCCAACCTCCTGCCTCAGCCTCTTGGGTCCCTAGTATTACAGGTTTATGCCACCATTCCTGGCTCAACTAATATCATTTTCACAATTATTGGTATTTTGTCATTGCCATTTTGTTTTATGGTTCTCATATTCTCTGTAAATATTTTTCTTTTGTTCTTTTTTCTGTCTCCCCCCCAACTCTTTCCCCCTATTTCTTCTTTTAGCTGTAACATTTGAAAATAAATCGCAGACATGACAGTACCTTAATACTTCAGTGTAGTTCTCCTAAGAATCAGCACATTTTCCCATATAACACAATCCCATGACTATATCCAAGAAAAAACACAAATTCCATGCTATTGTCAAATATGCAACATATCCGATTTCCCAGTCATACCAGAAATGTGTTTTAGAGTTTGATTTTTCAAATCAGGATCTAATCAAGGTGCATTGTATTTAACTGTAAAATCTCTTCATTCTCTAAGATGTACATGTTTTAAAACCAGTTTAGAATCAGCTGTCAATATCTTAAACCTGGGAGATTTCAAACAGAAACCTAATTTCTGATTTCTTTTGAGAATTTGGCAGGTCTGGTGAAATTGTATCTGCATTTTCACCGGTTGTGGCTAAGGGGTAACTTCCCTTTTTAGGAAGCTCTTGAGTTGTCTTGGTCACTCCCACCCTCTTATTCACTCAGTTATGTCACCTACAGGTTCTGGAGAGTCGGTCAGGCTGCTCTGAATGATGTGGGCTCCGTTTACACTCCCTGCAATTTAATTCTAGTTCAGCCGCTTAATAGCTGTTTGACCCTGGAAGGTTGTTCTACCTCTCTGAGACTAAACTCATCTGTAGATTAAGCATTCACTGAGATCCAGTTGTGGAAAGCGGCTAACATGAGAATTGTCGCATGGTCCCTGCTCAGCAACTATTACCTTTCTCTTAACTCGTATTATTGAAATTTTTAGCTCTAGTCTGCAGAAGAGAGTGATGTTGTAGTCCTGTTCTTGGTGCCCAGGCCTGTGACATTGGTCAAGGTTCTTACCCTTTCTGGACTGGCATTTGAATCTGAGCAGGAGAGGTTGGCAGGTTCAAAATAGGATGAAAGGCTTGTGCATGGCTAGATTAAATGCATTGCAGTGTTGTCTAGGTGATGTCGAAGAATCTTTGCTGGATTT